TGAACCACCAGCCTTCTGGTTAGCAGTCAAGTGCCTTAGGCACTACACTACCAGAGCTCCCAATATATCTGGACCTAAAAAAAAAAAAAAAAAAACAAACTCACTGCCATTGAGTCAGCCAACTCATAGCAACCCCTCCTTGGGCTTCCGAGGTGGTATCTCTACAGAAGTAGATTGCCCAGTCTTCCTTCTGAGGAGTGGTTGGTGGGTTTGAACCACTAGCCTTCTGGTTAGCAGTCAAATGCCTTAGGCACTAAGCTACCAGAGCTCCTATTTCCTGTGTTAACCTGTTATTTCAGAGGTTTGGGAAGGCTGAAGAGAGAGAAAAAAGGAACTAAGGTTTTGAGTATATTCAGTTTATGCCAAGTCTCATGCTAGATGGATCTTCTCTCTTTAGATTTTTCTAACAATCCCTATTTTGCAGATGAGGAAACTGAGGCTTGCACGGATCAAATAATACACAACTAAATGGCTCAGATGAAATTTAAACCCAGGTCTTGTATGATTACAAGGATAAAGATCTTTACCCTGCTGCACTGGATTGAGCAGAGATACCTTGGGGAATGCAGAGAGATACCAGTTGCCATCATGTTGATTCTGACTCATGGCTACCCCATGTGTATCAGAGTAGAACTGTGCTCCGTGGGGTTTTTAATGGCTAAATTTTTTAGAAATAGATCACCACACCTTTCTTCCAAGGCTCCTCTAGGTGGACTCTAACCTTTAGCCTTTCGGTTAGCAGTCAAGCGTTAACCATTTGTACCATCCAGGGACTCCACAGAGATAGAAAAGCAGATAAATAATATGGTCCCAACTAATGGAGGACTTTGAGAATAGGTTGATTTGTCTGCATTTGAATCTAAAAACAATAGAAAATCATAAATTAAGAAGGTTCTATGAGCAGTAAGAAAAGGTGTTAAAATGAAAAGTAGATCTCCCCCACTGCTTCTAGCCCTTTATTCACTTTTTTAGGAGTTTCTACTTTCTTGTGACCCCTTCCACAAATGCCTACTTAATTTGTATATTTCTGTGCACTCTTTTCTTCAACAGAATAGTTGCAAAAAAAAAAAAAAAAAAGACTAGAACATATGTCTCTTGTCCATGCTACTATTTTTATTTTTTCTTGATATAAAGCTAGGTAAGTAAAATGGAACTAGATAGAAAAGAAGCTAACATGAGTATTACTTACAGGCATTTGTCTTGAGCATTTTGGAATAAAAGCAAATTGCCTATCATTGGAATTTGTTTTAAATGTAGGATGTTGGATCTTATATTCCATTTTCAGCTCTTTCTGTTTTCTTATTTATGTATCTTTAGGTATCAACATGGACGAAGCAGTATCAGGCTGCAGCTCATCAGGACATCCCTGCCATGAACCAACTATCTGATTGGCTTGTGAAAAACTTGCCAGATAATGACAATGAAGAGAGTTTGATTCATGGAGATTTCAAACTGGATAACATAGTTTTCCACCCTAAAGAGGTATGTAAAATACACTGAGTAGGTACGATTTAAGGAGGCCCAGTGACGCAGTGAAGCTCTGGTAACATAGTGCCTAAGGCACTAGACTGCTAACCAGTTGGCTGCCGTTTCAAACCCACCAGCCACTCCTTGAAAGGAAGGTTGGGCAATCTACTTCTGTAGGGATACCGCCTCAGAAACCCAAGGAGGGGTCGCTGTGAGTTGAGTCCGACTCCACAGCAAGTAACAACAACAACAGCCAGTGATGCAGTTGTCCAGCACTTGGCTGCCAACTGGAAGGTCAGAGATTCAAATGCACCAGCCACTCAGCAGGACAAAGATGTAGCAGTCTGCATCTGTAAAGATTACCTTGGAAACCCTATGGGACAATTTTACCCTGCCCCATAGGGTCACTATCAGTTGGAATCAACTCAGTGGCAGTTGGTTTGGTTTAGGGTTTTGGTAGGTGTGATTTGGGACACAAGTGGATACTCCCCTAAAATACTAAAGGAGCCCACCCCATCTCCATTCTTGCCCTGCAGCTTGGACCTACCTTCACCACTAAAAACTTTAAGACATGAGTCCTGCACACTTTCTGGCATGGTAGCTGCCTACTTTTAAGGCTAGGTCTACTCCTGAATAAGGAGCCCTCATGGTGTAGTGGTTAAAGTGCTGGGCTGCTAACCAGAAGGTTGGTGATTCAAACCCATCAGCTGCTTCTGGGAGAAAAATGTGTCAGTCTGCTTCTATAAAGAGTTATAGTCTTGGAAATCCCATGCATTTCTGCTCTTGTCATATAAGGCCACTATGAGTCAGAATCTACATCAGTGGGCTTCATTTTTGGTTTTGGACTCCTAAGTCATATGTGATTTACTACTTAAAGCGACTTGGGAATTTTATATGCATATTGCTATTTTCTTGAAAGAAGTTTTTTATTGGCTGCTTAACATATTTAGCTTATCTCTGTTCTTACTCTTTCTTCTGTCTCATTTTCATTTCTTTGGCATCCCCCTACCTCCCATTTCATGAAGAACTTTTTGTTTATTACAAGCTTAAGAGAACAGAATTCCAACAAAAACCTCAATGGCTTCGCATAAAATTAATGTACCCTTGCTCTGTGTAAATGCATTCAGTGTAATCTTTATAAAGAGTACATGTAAATCAAAGCTATCACCCTCCACTGAGCACAGACAGTGAGGTCCATGATTGGAGGAGTATGGTGGGAATGAGGAAACCGCCTCAGCTCTGTTTTCATTAACTGATGCCTTTGGGCATGTCATTAGCACTTAGTATTCTTACATAATAAGAACAGATTCACTGAATCCTGCTTCTTAGCAAAGGATTTCATTAGTTTTCTCAAAATGTTAAGATGTTTTAGGGCAAGAAGAGTTGCTCTAAATTCATGTGCTAATTTTCAAGAATTTTGCTGTCAGTGCTAGGGCAAGATAGTGTCTCGTTGTTTTGATATGCATCTCTCTAATGGCTAATGTTGATACATTATTATTAACTAAAGTTTATAGTTTACATTAGTATTAACAAGCATTTTTTTTTTTAAGGAAACAACTGTAAAAGGCCTTTAGCTGCAATACTAATGTATTACATGTATCATTATTATTTAATGTTTTAAGATTATATAACAGTTAGTAAAAGGTCATCTAGTCTATTCATAGTAATCTAATAATTATTAGTTCAATCAAATTTAATCAATTTGTGCTCTTCTCTGTAAATATTATAGCTGTTTCTCCTCCATGGCAGCAACATGTGGTTGGTAGAGTTCAAGTTAACTAGCATTACTCATTACTTCCTATGTGCTCTCAATCATGGAGTCAAAAAGGAAAGACAGCTCATAATGAGCTTAAAATATAGATGTACAGCAAAGATACTAAGATAATGGTATAAAGCAACATACACTCAAATACTAAGCTATATCCTACAAGGTGGACTACAGAAGCAGTCAGAAAAAAGAGAGATACCCACTGTGGATGGACACCAGGAGGTTGGCGGTTCAAACCCACCAGCCACTCCTCAGAAGGAAGGTTAGGCAATCTACTTCTGTAGTGATACGGCCTCAGAAACCCAAGGAGAGGTTGCTATGAGTCGGGTCAGATTCAATGGCACGTAATGAGAACAACAGCAACCAATACTTTAAATTTTAATTTTACTTAATAGTTTATCTTTACCACCTCTTTTTTAAAATGTCACAAGTAACTAGGAAATTCGACTATGTAGGGGATGCTACAAATTAAGGAGCTCTGGTGGTGTAGTGGTTAAGGCATTTGGCTGCTAACCAGAAAGTCGGTGGTTCAAACCCACCAGCTGCTCCATGGAAGAAAGATGAAGCAGTCTGCTTTTGTAAAGATTTACAGCCTTGGAAACCCAGTGGGGGTCACTGTGAGTCAGAGTTGACTCGATGGTAGAGAGTTTGTTTTTTCAGTTTGCTACAAATTGGAAAATCAGCCCCTGATTATGGCAAGGTGAATATGTCTATTGTCTCTTGTATATATTTGTAGGGACATGGTTGAAAACCTTTTTTTTTCTTTGAAGTTAAGGATTATATCTTGCACTCATTTTTTCCCTTTCCCTTGCCCTAGACTGTTATATAATGTATATATATAGCATGTGCATATCCATAGTACATGCTCCATAAAGAAGCACCCGGTAGACTAGGACCTCCTTGAAAGCAGTGACTGCATCTTACTCATTGTATGCTCACTATAAAAGGGTACTTGGAAAATCAGAGGGGCTTACATGACTCTGAGTGAATCTATAGTGAAGAAATTGATTTTAGTGAATTTGTCACTAAATAACTATTTCCAGCTCATATGTTTATGTTTAATTTTCATTTCCTAGCAGTGTGACCTTAAAGCAAAGTACTTAACTCTTTGTCTGTGTTTAACTTTTTATTTTGAAATAATTATAGAGTAACAAGAATTTGTAAAAAATAATACAGAAAGGTCCTGTGTACCAATCACCCAAATTCTCCCAAAGGTAGCATCTATATAACTATAGTTCCAATCTTCAGAAAAATATTATGGTAAAAATAAATCTTTCACAACATGTACTAAAACTTAAGCCGTGGTTGTTGGGGATAGAATTATAGGAAACTTTAAAGTTGTACATTTAAGCAATGTTTAGGGTTTGAAGGGTTTGTTGTTGTTGTTGTTGTTGTTTTTACAACAAATATGTTTTATTTTCCTTGGGAGAAATCACAACCACCATTAAGCCAAAACCAAACCAAACTCACTGCCGTCAAGCCGGATACAACTCATAGCAACCACTCCAAGGAGGCTGGTGGGTTTGAACCACCAGCCTTCTGGTTAGCAGTCAAATGTCTTAGGCACCACACCACCAGAGCTCCTATAACCATTAAGAGAGAAAACAAAACCAGTTTTAAATGATAAGCCTTCCAGGAATATGTGGAGCTAGCTAGTAAACAACACTAAAGGGAATTGTAAAACAAAAGCATATTACTCTATTTCCCATCCTCAGTGGTTTTCCAGTTACTTATATGTAAAGTTTTTAAAGCATGTTTGAGCAAGAATTGCAGTCACACAACATGTTCACTGCAGTCTTTAAAAGAAATCCAATATTACACCTGGAAAATATTGTTGGTTTGTCCAGATATAAATATTAATCATCTGGTGAAGTATTGTTTAAGATTTTGGAGCTTAATGTAAAATCTGCATATTGCTGTATTTAACTTGAAAAGCAAATATTTAACTAGAAACAGATAGTTCCATAGATATTTTATCCACATTTATTAATTAGTTGTTGTTGTTATTGTTATGTGCTGTCGAGTTGGACCCGACTCATACAACCCCTCCTTGGGTTTCTGAGGCAGTATCACTACAGAAGTAGATTGTGCCATCTTCCTTCCAAGGAGTAGCCAGTGGGTTTGAACCGCCAGGCTTCTGGTTAGCAGTCAAGTGCCTTAGGCACTATGCTACCAGAGCTCCTTCATTAATTAGTGGTCAAATGTATTTAAGGTATCAGTGTATGTATATAGCTGTCCCCTGCCTTACAGGCATTTATGTATAGTGAAACCCGTGAGAGCCAGAACTTGATAGGACTGCCTTGTTTTTCTGGGTCTTGCAAGTTTTCTGCCTTTGATAGGCTACAGTATTACCACTTTTCTGTCACTTTTTAAATAAAAAATATTTGAGTTTTCCTTCTCTGACAGGTTTCTGTCTTAGACATGTTTCAGCTTTCACAGGTTTTACTGTATCAGTGTATGAAGAAAAAATGATTTATGTAAAACATTTTTACTTATAATTTTGTTTTTATTTTCCCTATTATCTCTATATAAGTGTAGTTGGAGAAAAGCATAGTTATAGGATTTGTTTTTTATAATTAGAAAAGAATGGGAATATTTTCCCCCAACCTTTTCATTTTAAGATTTTTTTTTTTTCATGCTTTTAATAGTAAAGCCTCGGTTTTTTTTAAAATTGTGATTTGGGTGAAAGTTTACAGAGCAAATTCACTTTCCATACAGCAGCTCACATATACTTTGTCTCATGACATTGACTGCAACTTCCCACAGTACAACAGCTTCCTTCCCACTTCCTGCCCATAGTTACCTCTTCCCTGTATCCTTACCTCCCATGCACTCCTGCCCCCGACAAGCTTGTCCCCCTGTGCATACACAGCCCTTCTATTCTCCCATGATTGATCTCTCCAAGGAGTGTATCTACCAAATGTAAATGTTCACCTCATATGCCTGTCTTTTGTTTGGCTGGAAGCCACAGGAGTGGGTTCAATTCCAGACCTGCAGGGCAGCTAGGGCCATAGTCTCAGTGGTTCCATCTAGAAATTGAAGCCTCTTGTTTTTGACCCTATCCTCTTTAACTTCCATTTCATTTTTTATACCTCCTCTGAGGTGCTGCAAGTTTGAATGCTCATACTTCAGAATCCATGAAAGAAAAACATCATAAAACCAGGTTAACTGGACCTGGGACATATTTATACTGTGTAATTTCATCTAGGCTATAATAAATTTTCATCTTTTAACAAAATCTGTGACATTTAAAAGATAAATGTTTTTTCAAATCTTTTTGATTCTTCTCAAATGCTCAAGTTGCTTTTCCTATCTAGGCTGTGACACTCAGCATGTGGCCATGCCTTTTACTGGACTCATTTTTGTCCTTTTAGTCATTTCCCACCACAGGATGCTTTCTGGGGATTACAGACCCCTTTAAGTTTTCTTGATATTGTTGAAGATGTTTCAGCCCTCTGCACAATGTCCCCTTCATGCATATTGATGGATAACATTTTCTTCATCTTCATTTGCAAGAAAAGTTGTCCCTCGTTAGCAGCTGGTGTGTTTTTAATCTATATACAATATAAACATTGTGACTAATCTTGCTTCCCACTCAAAATTTTTTTGGGGAAAGGGTATATTCCTGTTTGCCTAACCCCACCTAATCTTCTCACCTGTCTATGCATTTACCCTTAGCCTAGTGTTTGGTGCCCCTGCTAATGCAGTATTGTGCAGGTAATAGTACTTGCCTCTGTTGTCTATATCTTTTGTGCACATTTCTGTTCCCTCCCTTTCCCCATTGTCACCATGCTGGTCACAGACTCTTTCCATACTACCCGTCCCCTCACCCAAATCAAACACTTAATTTTGACTGGTAGAGAACTCAGCAAATTTTACTGCCCACACTAAAAACTATATATGGTCTATCACATTAAATTTTATGTAATATTCTTATTCTTAGCTTTATCTTTTCATGGAAAATTCTATCATTTTATTCTTCTCTGCTTTCTTCATCTGTAGTTTGTCCTGTTGGATTGCATGTTTTTTGTTTTGAAAAGGTAATCTCCATACACATTTGTTGTTGTTGTTACATGCCGTCGAGTCAGACCCGACTCATAGCGACCCCTCCTTGGATTTCCGAGGCAGTATCACTACGGAAGTAGATTGCCCAACCTTCCTTCTGAGGAGTGGCTGGTGGGTTTGAACCACCAACTTTCTGGTTAGCAGTCAAGTGCCTTAGGCACTACGCCACCAGAGCTCCCCCATACGTATTAATAAAATTCAATAACTGAAAAACTATAGATAGAAAATAAACTTTTCTGTGGAAGATAATCAGCAAACTAAATAGCTGTCAGTTGTGCCGAGGTTTCAGAGAAAACTGGCAGAAATCACTTCATTAGTAAGTTCTACAGCAGCAAGATGAGCTACTAAAATTGTTCATCTCAACCAACCACTATACGTTATGCTTGATCTTTTTATAAGACAGGAAAATAATAAACTAACACTCAGACCACCAAACCAAACCTACTGCCAACCCCACTGCCATAGAGTTGATTCTAACTCATAGTGCCCCTGTAGGACAGAATAGAATTGTCCCATAGGGTTTGAAGACTCTAAATCTCTACGGAAGCAGACTGCCTCATATTTCTCCCACGAAGCAGCTTGTGGGTTCCAGCCACCAACTTTCTGGTTAGCAGCTGAGTACTTACTTTAACCACTGCACCAGCAGGGATCCTTAACTCTGAGACAGGACTGTAATAAATATTGCTAACCTAATTTATACTGATTGATACAGTATGATGAACCATCAATTTTTTTCTCACTAGATATTTTATAGCTTTGTATAACTTTGTATAAGGTAATAGTACTTGCCTCTGTTGTCTATATCTTTGTATAACTATATACTACTCTGTATAACTTTGTATAACTACTTTGTATAAGCTTTGTATAACTACCTAAAGTGGAGGATCAACAAAAAGGGGAAGCCTTCAACAAGATGGATTGACACAGTGGCTACAACTATGGGCTCAGGTATAGCAGGATTGTGAGGCTGGCACAGGACTGGGCAGTGTTTTGTTCTGTTGTACACAGGGTTGCTATGAGTTGGAGCCAACTCGACAGCACCTAACAACAACAACAACATAACTACCTAAAAAATGTTTCAGAAATTTTGATATTTAACTCTAGAGAAGATTCCATATTTTCATTTTTTTAAAAAATAAACATTTATAGTATAAGGAGTCATATTATTTTCTTTGGGTATTAAGATCATAAATGACAAATAGAATGATGTAAGAGAAAACATCACTTTTTTTTTATAACTTAACACATCTAGCTAATACAGTGATTTACTGGTTAAAAGCATGTTCTTTTTTAATGGCGAAATCTACTCTTCTTATTTTCTATTTACTTTAAAATGATTGAGCTCATTTTTTCCCCCATACTCTTCCCTGACACAGTCATCATCACTACCTTCTTGTGTCTCCTTCCACAGATAATGTATTGTATGTATTTGGTAAACCTCCTCACTTCTTTTTTTGGATAAAGTGATATATGAATAAGTCAAATTAAAAAAAAAAAAGCTTTCAGAATACCAAGACCATTTGACAGTTGTTCTTTTTCTCTTCCTTCCTTTCCAAAGAAGCACTGTCCAATTTCTTTTTGGTCCCAGAAGTTGTCGTTGTTGTTGTTAGGTGCCATTTCGATTCATAGTGGCCTCACATCTACCCCACAGTAGAACTGCCCCATAGAGTTTTCTTGGCTGTAATCTTTACAGGACTAGATCACCAGGTCTTTCTCCTGCAGAGTGGTGGGTGGGTTCAAACTACCAAACTTTTGGTTAACAGTCAAGCCCTTAACCACTGCACCACTAGGGGTCCTTTGGTTAATTGATTGCAAAAATAAATAAGTGATTCCTGCCATTAAGGAGACAGTTACTTGAACAGATAATGTAATAATACAATATAATCACAACACTGAAATATCCTATGAAATCAAGTCATGGAGGAGAGAGTGATCAATTTTTCTTATATAAATAATAAAAAATATTTGTTTGCTTGCTATGTGCTGTATGTATACTTACTCATTGAATAAATATATATTGGCTATTGACTATGTTCCAGTTACTTGGTAGGAACTGGTAAACTAAACTGTAATATTTGTTATGTAGTTGGATTCTTCACCAGAGAAAATCTTAATTATATGGCATAGCATTAATTCTTGAAATAAAACTAATTAATTATGAGAATTTTTTTAATACTGCATTTACTCCCAGTTGAGAAGTTTCACTTGCTTTTGCCTCTGCTCATTAGCAGAGATATTAAGGTTGTATAAAGTAAAATACAGAAGAGTTGACAGCCACTAATAGAGCCAGAGAACTTGTCTGTACACAATCAGGACTAGTTAGACTCTCCTTTACCAAATAGCTAATTAAAGGCATCACTGTCGGTAAAGACTGAAGATGAGGCCTCATATTGGCTTCTGATGGGAAACATGATGTTAAATGTATTTTATTTCAGTTACTTCCTTATATTAGTTGGTGCAAACTTTAATATGTGAAAAACTTTTTATTTTTTATTACAGTCTCGAGTTGTAGCAGTACTGGATTGGGAGCTTTCAACCATTGGTCATCCCCTGTCAGACTTAGCTCATCTTTCCCTGTTCTACTTTTGGCCAAGGACAGTTCCAATGACAAATTATAGTTCTTATTTTCAAGAAAACATAGGTATAAAAATATAATGTCTAATTTCATACTAATATAAATTGTCTTTATTATTTATAATTTTAAAACTAGGATTATCTTACGATTTTAGGTAAATAACTTGCATTGATTTCCTGAAAATATTTCCAAATCACTTTATTTCTATTCATTTTTCTGAACTTAACATTCTACTTTTAATAATTTGTGACAAATTTGATCCTTTGTGTGTAATGTTCTAGGGGGCTCTGGTGGCGTAGTGCCTAAAGCATTTGACTGCCAACCAGAAGTTTGGCAGTTCAAACCCACCAGCCACTCCTCAGAAGGAAGGTTAGGCAATCTACTTCCATAGTGATACTGCCTTGGAAACCCAAGGTGGGGTTGCTATGAATTGGATCTGACTCAGTGGCATTGAGTTTGGTTTTGGTTTTTTTGATGTAATGTTCTCTTGAGAATCAAAATTTAAAATGTTCTGTGACATGGATTATATCTGTAATATTAGGACAATTTGAAATATTCACCATAACATTTTTTTTCATTTAAAGTTTTTATTATGTGTTTTGTTTTATTTTGTTTTTACCAGGGATACCATCAATGGAAGAACTGATTTCAATATATTGCCATCACAGGGGAATTCATTCTGTTCTTCCTAACTGGAACTTCTTTCTGGCTCTTTCATATTTTAAAATGGCTGGAATAGCACAGGTAACAAAGAGCTAAAAATCTTATTTGCTGATCTCAACATCAGACTCTATAGTCATTGATTGACCAGGGCTGATGAGGGAAGAGTTACTTTTGTATTTCCTGGAGCCTAGCACAGCACCTAGCATGGACAAGCATACCTCGTTTTACCACAAGCCACAGATACTGTGTTTTTCACAAATTGAAGATTTGTGGCAACTCTGTATTGAGCAAGTCTGTTGGCGCCATTTTTCCAACAACATGTGCTCACTTTGAGTGTCTGTGCCACATTTTGGTAATTCTCACAATATTTCATTTTTTTTCATAATGTCCTTGCATACTCAATACACTACAGTATAGTGTAAACATAACTCTTATATGCATTGGGAAACCAAAAAAATTGTATGACTCACTTTATTGAAATACTTGTTTTATCACAGTGATCTGTAGCCAAACCCGCAGTAGCTCAGAGATACACCTATACCAAAACTAAACCAAACCCACTGCTGTCAAGTCAATTACAACTCCTAGTGATGCTACACTACAGAGTAAAACTTCCTCATAGAGTTTCCAAGGCTATAAATCTTTCTGAAAGCAGATTGCCACATCTTTCTACCACTGAACGGCTGGTGGGTTTAAACTGCCAACCTTTCAGTTAGTAGCTGAGTGCTTAACCATATAAAAGCCTCTTAATATATGTTTTTGGTGAATGTAAAAGTAAAAATTTCCATTTTCCAATAGTGTCATATTTATGTGATTAATTTTAAGAGGAAATTGAGCATAAATTCCATTTTTAAAATTAGATTTTAATTTAAATAAATGCAGTCTTATACTAATCAAGTTTCTAGGTACTTTAAAGTCAAGGGGTTTATTTAATAAATTGGGATACTTCAAAAGTATCAGTGAAAAAAAAGCTAGGGTTTGGAGGAAGAAGAGGTAAATAAAAATTTTAGAAACAAAGACAAATAGGAAAGAAGGATTAAGGAAAATTATAGGTATTTTCCTGTTCTCAGAGTTCATCCTAGCCACAAGCAGCTAGAATGTCTTCTAAGATATATTTGTGTTACATCTTATTTCACATTCTAAGGGTTGAGCTTGTTGAACAAGCAAGAGTTTTTCAAAATAGGGTTTAAAATATCTTTAAATATCCATCAGTTTCCACAAATCAGATACCAAATAGGCATTGAAATCTAAATGACTTTTCATTTCAAATAGATGTTTGACATGGGTTATGACTGAAGTTAATATATACAATACATCATAAACTATACAGTAGTATATATACTATACAGTAGTATATATACTATATACATATCATAAACATTCCATTTCAACTGGCAATTTGAAATTTTGAAATTGGAAATGCTGGAAAACTGTTACAGTGTTTTATAGCATAAAGAATTAGTTATACTAAGAAGGTAAAGTAATAGAATTCAGTTATTTGTGTGTATGTTCAGGTTTTTTTTCGGGGGGGTTGTTGTATTATATTGGTGGTGCAAACATTTAAGGAACTCAGCTGCTAACTGAAATAGAGACACTTGGAAGAAAGGCCTGGTGATCTATTTCTGAAACATCTACCACTTAAAACCCTGTGGAGCACAGCTCTACTCTGACATATGAGAGGTCGCCCTGAGTGGGCATTGGCTCAACAGTCACTGTTTCGATTTGTTTTTTGTACTGTATTGGAAGCGTAGAATATGGAGAATTAAAAAAGAAAAAGTGGTTAGTATTCAACTAACACTGTTCAAGGGAGACAGTTTTACCTATTTTTAGAAGTTCCAAAAAATAGAGGAAAATATTCTTAGAAGCTATCTGATTGCCTTCTCTTTGGTTTTATAATATTTTTTTTTTTATCTTATTTTAGTTTCTTTACAAATTTTCCTCAGTTCAGAAGGGAGAGTAGTGATCTCTGTTGTTGTTGTTGTTATGTGACATTGAGCCGACTCATGACCCCTCCTTGGGTTTCCAAGGTGGTATCACTACGGATACCTAACCTTAGATTACCCAACCTTCCTTCCAAGGAGTGGCTGGTGGG